AGAACAATTTGTTGGTAAATCTTTAGGGAGATCCTCTAATTCTTTCTTAATTCTTTTAAGAGCCATATAAATTAAAAAATACTTATATTATATTGGTAATTATTTATAAATTTCTAGAAAACTGATCAATTCTGAAATAATCAATAAGATTTAATAAGAAGTATTTTGCTTAAAATATTGTATAATTTCTTCAAAACTTGTAATAATTCTAAATTTTATTGAAAAATAAACAATAACCAAAAATGGAGTAGAAATGATTAGATGTATTTTCTTTGCTTTTTCATAAACTGGGACTTTAGACTTTAACTACTTTACCTTTCCTCTAAATCTGGATTCGAAAGGCATGGCTTTAGTTTATAAAAATTACTCTTCTCAATCCTCTGTTATTTGATTGAAAAAGAAAGAAAGAAAAAATCTCATTTACAGGAGGAAATGGCTTTGTATTTTATTTTAACAATATTAAAAACTGTTAATACAGATGGTTTCACATTAATTTTTGATTAATTATTGATTAAAGCAGAAGAAAACAATGAACAAGTATCCTATATTATATAATATGAAATAAACAAGTTAATTTATCATTTTGCCAACTTATATTGAATTATATTTCAATTCTTTACAAAAAAAATTATTTTTTCTTCAATCTACTATTAAAATTTAATAGTTAAATTAAAAATTTCCGATATACTCTGATTTTTTTATTCTTTTTTCACATAATTAAGCCATATTTATTAATGCAATAAAGGAAATAAATAAAAAATTAATGTTACAATAAATTTTCCTGAAATTGTACTATTTTAATTATTTTGGTATTATGATAGCTATTAGTGCACTATTTTCCCTATATGGTTTGATTTATTAAAAATTTCTAAATATATATAATCTATTCAAAATTTTGGAAAATCGTTCTTAATATTATTTGTTAATCATCGAAAAATTGTGTGAAAATATATAAAGCTAATAAATTTTAAGATTAATTATAAAGTAATCAAATTAATTATTTAATTTTATCACTCTATATGTTCCTCTATGATGATTATCTGTTATATTTTTAATAAATTTAAAAAAATAAAGAAGTTAATATATATCTATTACTCAAGTATAAAATTATTATTGGAATCAATATAACTTGAGATATATTTGTAATCATTAGAAAATGTAAGATGTTGCAGCAACTTGTCTGTTTTATTTAAATACTCCAAGTATTGATTGAGCTAATCCTCTAATTTGCTTGTATTTTTTAAAAAGAAACTTCCATTATTAAAAGCCATCAATCACTAATTGAATGCATAATACTGAGGACATAAAAAAAATGCAACCCCATCCAAAATATTATCTAATCTAGTATGAAAAATATACTAATTCAACATCACAGGTCAATATTGTAATACTCAATAATGTAAAAGAGATACTAACTTCACTAAATAACTATTTAAAATACTCCAATTTATCCTTTAATGGATTAAAGAAGATGTAAAATAGACTCATAGAGGTTGATAGAAGTGTAATGCTGATAGTTTGAAAAGTTGGAAACTCATATGCGAAAATTAATAAAAACATAAAGGTAAGTTTTTTGATTAGAAGTATTGTATTAAGATATTTAGAAAATTGATTTATCTTAATTCCATCAAAAATAGATCCATATTTAACTTTGATAGCTGTATTATTCAAAGCATATTTCTTCATCTAGGATAGTTGTAATACATAATAGATACTAATAATATATATTGCACTTGCAAAACAAGCTAATAAAGAACTAAATCTTATAAAGAAATTTGATGAGTTAAGCTCTAAAGCATACAATTAAAGTACTATACTAAAAGTAAAATCATATGCAGTGGCCATATGAGCACGTAAGATTCCACTATAAAAGAATTCTGAAATAATAGTAAAGCACAATCTATTAATGATATACTTAATAGTTAAATAGTATACTCCAACTTTCACAAGCCAATAATTTTCAGTTTCTGATTCAGAAAAAAACTTAAATTTAAATGAATATAGAATTTTAGGTATCACTTTTGCAATAGCATAAATAGCAAATAAAGAAATCCAAACTGTAGTAATTGTTGCGGCATTAATAATAAATAATGATGTTAAATTATCACCTGCTACTTTTGTGGGTATCTTCTTTAATTGTTTTGTATTTAGCATTTGATCAATAAATCCTGATAAATCGAAAATCTTTTAGATAAAGTTAAATTAAGCAAATCCAAAAAGTTCAAAGTAAGTTTATAAATTATATGGAAGTTGAGTATTAATGTATTTAAAATAAGATAACATTTAAAGAGTATCCAACAAATTAAAAAAGACTTCAACTCCTCCAAATAAAACTGATCCCCCACACATTGCCCCAATAAAATAGAGAATATAGGTGTTACTATTGGTTGCTATTTAGACTTGAGCAATTGTGACATCATCAATGTATGTCACTTTTGGTATACTGCAAGATACTTCTTTTTCAATCTGGGAGTATCCTTCATTTGAATAAATGACTGAATTATTTAAGAATTTAATCAATAGGATTTCATCTTGTGAACTTCTTGAGAAAGTAATATTGATTGTCAAAATTAATTGAGATTAATTAAACTCATTTATCTAAGAAGTATCTTGAGTGAGACTAAAAGATTGATCCATTTATTAAACATTATCTTTGTTCTATATATGAAAAGATAGATAATCTTTAATTTGAAAATTATCAATCAAAATGATAGGAGTAGTGTATGATAATTTAAATAATCTAGTAGCAGAGTAAATCTATGAAGTTCCTACACTCTATAATAATGGTTTTGGATAACTTGGTATGATACTTACACCATTTAGAAATATATACTTATTTTCTAATTTACATTAATCATCACATCCATCATCTTTAATAAGATTTCCATCATCACATTCTTCTTCCTTTACTTTTATGTAATCTCCACATTTGTTTAAACAAGTTCCATTTATCTCATCTGCATAATATCCAGATTCACAAAGTTAACATTTATGATTCTTCTATTGTGGAAACTTACAAGTTATACAATTATAAGCTTAATCAAGACATTCTAAACAATTGATTGAACATTCAACACAATCATTTTTATCTAAGAAATATCCAACTTGGCATTTAATACATAAGGATTTTTTTGTTAAAGGATTCAATTAGCATTTTATGCAATTAGTTGAACATTGGAAACAAATTGATTATTTTAGTATTTCATTAGAACAAGAGTAATTAGGATCAATCTTACAATTAGAACAACCATCTCTATTTACATCATTTCCATCATCACATTCTTCTCCATAAGTCCAAATTTAATCTTTACAATCTTAATATTTACAACTTTCTTAAGATTTTCCCAATTAATCTAAACATGAGACACAAACTCCATCTTCACTTTCAAAATAATTTTACCTACATAAACATTTATTATTGACTAAAATACGATGTAGTCTTTAATCGCAACTCAGACAATTATATTAATCGTCAACACAAGTTAAACAAGTTTAATAACATTAAGAACAATTACTTTTATTCCAGAAGTACCCTGAATTGCAATTACATTTAAGATTCAAATCTAATTATAAATTAGATAACAGAACACATTCTTAACAAATTGTTTTACTTAAACATGTCTTACATGGGTATTCACATCGATAACATTAATTTTATTATTCATAGTATCCAACTTAACAGATACATTTATTATTTGAATCAATGTAATAATTGGATCTACAAGTAAGGCATTTTTCAGATAATTAATTACAAGTTAAACAATTTTGATTACATGGTTCACATTTCTAATTCACTAGATAATATCCATCTAAGCATACATCACAACTAAGTGAATTCTCACAAATATTACAAGAAGGAATACATGCTTCGCATAATTGAGTTTCATTAATAAAGTATCCCTCTTAACAAATTTGACAATTTATTTGATTATAACAAACATCACAATGATCAATACATTTTAAACATCGATTAACATTGGATAAATAGAATCCTTTTATACAATTATTACAATTATCTATTCCTTAACAATCTATGCAATATTAATCACAACAAAAGTCTCCCTTATTCACAAACCCTTCTTTACATAAACATTGATAATCTTTGATTATCTAATTTGGATCCACACATGTTACACATTAATTAACAGTATTGATACAAGTAGAACATGGATTTTAACATTAAAGACACAAAACACCTTGTTAAAGATATCCAGATTTACAAATACACTATTTATTGGAATCTAGGATTTGATTTATATCTATGCAATTGATACATCCATTAGTATCACATTCATAACATGGCTCTTAACACTTTGCACATGTGATTAGACTATCAGAATAATAAGTGGATTTGCAAACACATTATGATATGTTATTAAGTTCATGATTAGTATCTACACATGTCAAGCATTTAGTGGTAAGTATCTCACAAGTTTTACATGGCTATTAACAAGGAATGCAAAAGTAATTATCATCAAATATCCATCCAGGCTCACATTAACAAGACTACGTTTATTAGTGTATTGGATCTTTACAAGTAACACATTTATTTATTGTATCTACACAATCTAAACATGGCAATTAACATTTGATGCATGTGATTCCATCAGTATCTAAAATCCAACCTGTTTTACATACACACAAAAATGAATTATTTACTATTTAATTAATATCATCACAAGATAAACAGTGATTCTAATTATATTCACAAGTTTAACATGGACTTACACATTCTTAACATGTTTGAGAATCAAACTAAAAATAACCATATGAGCATTCACATTTGTATTATATATTCTAACTTAATGTAAAAGTAGTGATACAATCAGTACAATTATTACCATTATTTTCACACTTTGAGCATGGTGCTAAACAAAGTTAGCATTGATTTGATCCATCAATATAATATCCATCATTGCAAACACATTAAAAATTGATTGCTGTTTAATTTATGTCAATGCATGAAGTACAATCATTTGAATTGTTGATGCAAGCAGAGCATGGAGATGTGCAAGGAAGACATTATGAATTTGAAAGGTATTTTCCTTCATCACATGATGTACAAGTACTACTAGTACCTAAACATGTCTTACAAGTAGTATCACAAACTGAGCAACTAGTTCCAATAATAAAATAGTGATCTACACAAGTTTAGCATACAGTATTAGATGTGCAAGTAGCACACTAAGTAGGGCAGGCTTAACAACTTGAGCCAGATTTATAAAACTTTGGAAGGCAATTTGAGCAATTACTAGAAGAACTACAAACATCACATCCATTAGAACAAGCACCACATTTATACACTGGAAAAGAAAAATAACCTAAAAAAGAAATACATAAAAGCATTACGATAAAATTGTGGCTTACAAGAGTCACATGTTACGAGATCTGGGCAACTAAAGCAATTAGAGGGACAATCCAAACAGGAACCTGCGATTTCAAGTTATCCCGGATCACAACTCTAAGTTACTAAAATATTATTAGGTATCTTTACATAGACAATTCATTAAGATAAGATAGACTGTAAGCATGTAGTCGGATTTTATAAACAATAATATTATATAGAAAAAGTTGATGATGTAATTAGGATTTTATGAACATTTTTTTGAGAAATTCATTACAAAGTATTAATCATTAAATTAACTTTAAAAGACTTAAATTAATTGTCACTTGTAGATTTCTACATAGAATTTTTTTTAATTTCTTACAGTTGTAATCATAATAACCATAGGAAAGACTTGTTAAACGGACAATAATAATTATCTCTATTTATAATATAGTTAAATACTAAAATTCAAATAATTTTTTATAAATGTGACCTGGTTTGCTTTTTTTAATTATTTGTATTTAATTTACAAGTATTTTAACTTTTGAATGATGACTTTTATTCAAAAATAATTTAAAGTATATCTGAATGTTTTGTTAATATATTTCAAGAAATAATTCTCAATTAATAAAGATGTATCTTATAATAATTAAAAACCTTTTATAGAATGGTATTATAATTTGATATAGATTCATATTATTTTTAATTTAAAATAGTTGATTCTTTATTTAGGAAAGGATTCATATCATATCCCTCTTCTTGATCAATCATTGAATTTTTAATCATGTTGTTTTAAACTGAAGTTAAAAACAAGTTTATAAATTACATTTAACTCAATTTAAAGAAGATGGTTTCATTCTATTTATTTGACAGAGTAATTCAAAGCAATTAATTTGATATAAAATACTTGATTCAAAATTATCCCTCTAATCTTTTCATAGCTACCAACTTTAAAAAATAATATATTTCAAATATTTTTATATATAAGAATTTAAATTTATCTCTATTATTAAGTTATCTTATAAAAGTAGCGCTTTAACTAAGAATTATTTGATCAATCATGTTTTAATTGTAATGCCAATGTACAGCTACCGGACTGGGATTTACCTCATTATATAAGCAGACTGATGGAGTGTCAAATATCAAATTGAATTATTCAGCACTATATATACCCTTTTAATTTGATTTTCTTTCCATTTTAATATCATGAGTATAATTTGAATAAAATTTATTAATTTGGTTGATATGAATTGGTAAGCAGAAAGATAAAGAATAATTTAGAAATTTTAAATAAAAATCAAAAATTATGTTGAGAGTAACATACTTTAATTGTAATCTTATAATAATTTCAACTTTTCCCCAATGTTATTGTAAAGCCTTAAATTTTTATGGCCCCCTAACAATTATCACTCATTTTCTAATTTAAAACCTCTGACCTCTAATGAAATAGATCATTATTGTGGAGATACAGTATCTTTTAAAGTTACTGCAATTCTAATTTAAAAATACAGGAAAGGAAGACTATTTAAATTATTTTCATATATTAATCATAAGTAATTTTTTTAATGAATACACTTTTTATTCATTTTATGGTCATGAATAAGAACTATTATTTATAAATATAATTATCAATTATTATTTTTAGAAGGGCTTATATTTTATGTAATATCTGTAAATATTTGAATGTGTTGTTCATAAGGATGAAAGGTGAAGAATAATAATATTTTTCTAATACCCCACAAATCATATTTATTAAAACAAATTTATTATTATGTCTTAAAGATATATTCCAAAGAAATTCTAGAAAGTAACCTCGATAAGGCCATAAGCTAATCGTATCACTTTGAAAAGGAATTTCCAAGATGAGGTAGGATTTTTTGTAAAAACTCTATGATGAGCTTAATTATTTAAGAACAATCAGATTTTGCCAGAATCAAACACAGCCAAGTATCAAAGGAATATTACAATAGACATAATCCACATTAATATTGAATGAAACAACCCTTACTTTTTAATCAACTAGATCTACCACACAAGAATTATTTTCTAACGATAAATAAAGATCGTAATTTACACCATGTATGTTTGAATAGATTCAAATTAGAACTATTTCACTACCTATAAAAAGGAATTAGAAATAATATAAGAGTAGTAAGAAGTTATTGGGGTTTATATATTATCAATGAAATAGGTGGAAAGGATTAGAAAAAGGTAAAAATGAGAATGAATTGGCAATTAAGATTGATCATAGCCTGATGTTCTAAATACTCAAGAAGAAGAAAGAAATTTATTTGACAAACAATTAGAAGGATGTTGAATTATTAAGGGGCTTGTAATTTAATAAAACTTCAAAACTAAAGTAGAGAAGAAACAGAAGAAGATCTCCTTGTGAAATATTTCTTTATTAAATAGTGTAAAAAAATAAACATTATGCACAAAGCTAGAGAAAAAATGAACCACCTTTATTTCTTAAAAGCATATAAAATATGACTATCCCTTTCAAAACTATCCTAAGTTAAATATGACTACAGGAAGAGCGATCTATTCCTATAAGGGATCAACTAGTTAATAGAATATATGGAAATTTACTAGAGAAAGAAATGGTTCTTGTATTGTTAAAGAAAAAGAAAAGAAATAAATCGATAAACTTTAATTAGAAATTAGGAGAAAAAGATAGGAAATGGAATTGCCTAAGTGATAAAGAAAAGTAAGATAAAAATGAAGTGCCATTATATCTAAAGTAGAAATATTTAGAGTATAATGCCTGATCCTAACAAGGCATACTTTTGGAAAAGTGCATAATATGAATCTCATTTGGGACCCTCAATACCCCCCAATAGTTTTTGTAAATTAAATTTTGGAAAATTAATTAGCTTTGTGCCTTTACATCATAGGATGCCAAGACAAATAAAAAAAGAAAGCTCTGGTATGCAAGTCCAAAATTCAGAAAATGAAGTAAGGCAGCAGAACAAGCGCCTTATAAATTAATGTTAAAAGATCTTCTCT